GCGGGACGCCGGTCTCCAGGTGAGCTTCCTCCTGGGAGGCGGCGGCGGCGGCGGCGGCGGCGGCAGGGGGAGGGGATCCGTTCCAGGGAGCTGCTCCATTTCTTCTCTCCCGCGCGGCCTGGCCTGGGGAAGACCTCTGCCGCCGGAGATTTGCCTGAGGTCCTACTCGAGGTGAGCTTGCACCTGGGAGATGGGTGTGGTGCAGTCAGGGGGCTGGTAAGTTGGTGGCTGAGGGGATAGGGAGGCTGCCCCGGGGGAGCTTGTGAATTATCTCCCATGTATGTGCCGCGTGGCCTGCAGGCGGCCTCTGCTGCGCCAGGTCCCGGGACACCCCTGTACCACTTTGCCTGCTGGGGGCGGGAGGCAGGGTAGTCAGGGTGCAGGGTTGGCGAGGGTCGGGGGCCTGCAGCGGGGGAGCGGACCCATTTGCTCCCATCTTCCCCGGCTTGTCCTGGGGGCGGTCTCTCTTGCCCTGGGTTACGGGACACGTGTATCCTAGACGGCCTGACTCCGGGAGGCGGGCGTGTTACATTGGGGGTGGTGGCAAAAGCGGCAGGTTTTCACATGGAGCCTGTCCATTTGCTCCCATTTCCCCTCAATGGTTTGCCCTGGGGTCGGTCCCTGTTGTCCCTAGTTCGCCGGACGTCCATCTCCAGGTCAGCCTGCTCCCTAGAGGAGGCCATTGTGAGGTCAGGGGGCAAGTGTGGTGGCTGCTGAGGGGGTAGGAGGCTGCCTTGGGGAGCTAGTGGATTGGCTCCCGTCTCCCCGATGGCCTGGTGTGAGAGTGGCCTCTCCTGCCCCAGATCACCAGACAAACCTATCCCATTCAGCCTGCTAGGGGAGGGGCGCCCTGGGCGGAGCCTTTAAGGTGCGGGGGTGGCGACGGCGGGCGTAGAGGACCTACAGCGCGGAGCCTGTCAATTTGCTCTCCTCTTCCCCGCTGCCAATCCTGGGGGCGTCCTCTGCTGCCTAAGAAGCCGGATGCCCGTCTCCAGGTCAGCTTGCTCCTGGAAGGCGGGTGCGATGCGGTCGAGGGGCAGAGGCAGCTGTGACGGCCGGCTGCCCCGCCTAATGGGGTCACTTCTTCTCCTCTCCCCTGACCTGGCCTGGGGACAGCCTCTTCCGCCCAAGATTCGCCTGACACCCCACACCCGGTCAGGTTGCTCCTGGGAGGTGGGCGTGGTGTGATCAGGGATTGGAGAGGAGAGGCGGGCTG